TGAAAAACGCAATGGCTACTTTGGCACCTTCACTAGCTTCTTTGAAATACCAGTATGCCCATGGTGCGTCCAAAGGATAGTCCAATAACGAATGGCCCATCTAAGGAAAAGAAAAATTAAACAATCGCTTATGAACATAGATCAAAGAAAGCAACATACACACATACATACATACACACTGCAACCATTGCGGATGAATTGACATCACCTTTAGCTCAAAGCGTCTTCCGGAACGGGGATCCTCCCCGGGCTCGAAATCTTCTGTAGATATATCAAAAAAGGAATCATCCATATCGTAATCCCGAGAGAAACAGAGCCAATTCAATTTGCTCCACTTGGAGAAATTCTTAGTCTCCCAAACTTCACGATCCCCAACCCTGAAAATTTGTGTGAAGTCTTCTCCCTCGAGGCCCCTTGCTTCATCATCCTCGCCTTTGTTTGCTCCGTCCACGTTCATGGCAATTAAGGTGCTACAAGCAACGCCATCATTGATAGCAGTCTTTTCCGTACAAAACGGGGAAGAAGAAGGGGCATCCATACCGTTCGTAGAAACCCTAGAGGCTGTATCTGATTTTGGGGATTTGCTTGTAGCTCCTGCCCTCTCTTTCGAACAACATCTAATTAATTTCTTTAATACCTTTGGCGTGAAAATTTGTGTGAAGTCTTCTCCCTCGTGGCCCCTTGATTCATCATCGTCGCCTTCGTTTGCCTCGTCCAAGTCCATGTTTCCTCGCTCTTCTTTGACGGCGATTTGTTGATCCTTTTCCTGATTTTCAGAAATCCCATCCTTCTCAGCGCAGATTTTTGTGCCGTCTTTCATGGCAATTAAGGTGCATCCATATCTTATCTTTCGTCTAGATCTGATTTTTGGGGGTTCGCTCTGCGCATCTTTTTATCTTCAATCATGCTACACTTACACCACTACTGAGTTACCCAATTATTCCCCGCAGTTTTACACCGACACAAGTGTTATTCTGTCAACAAAAATTTACACGAACATAAAATATTACTTCGTTGTACATTAAAAAAAATTAGTTTTGCAACAGCACTTAATGTTGGTGCAAACCTACGGGTACAATATGATATACAAAAACTTTGGGTACAAATAGTTTTATCCTCTTTTATCTTTCCAACCACATTTGACTACAATATTCGGTGTACTTATACTGGTTGATTGCTTCCACCTTGTTGCATAATGCACTTACCCATACTCCATCCCTTTCTAAAAAAAATTTTCAAAAGATTATGACAGTTTGATTTTTTATTTAAATCATGTTATTAGTTGATCGTAAATTATGAAAAAAAAATATTTAGTTATAATTTAAATGTAAGAAAATTGGTTTTATTATAAAATATAGTTTTGAACTTTCAAATTTTTATAATACTCCGTATATAAGTATTTTATACTATATTTAATTCATTGTCAAAGAGTGTCACAGTTTGAACAATAAAATCAAACTGTAGCATTCTTTTAGAAACGGAGAAAGTATTTTTTTTAATTTTTAATTAAAACATAGAGTAAATTCTATAATTGGTCCTTTATAAGAGAGTGGTTTCCATATTTAGTCCTCTATTATCAAATATTACCCCCGTAGTCCTTTTTTAAGCGTATCTTTCTACAAATGGTCCTTTTTTTGATCTTCTAACATGTTGATATTAATTTAAAGGCTAAAAATATAATTTGACATCAACATTATGTCTAGTGACGTGTTCTAACATTGGTTAAGCGGATAACACAAAAATAATGACTATGATTGTGGGCTAGGATTCTGATGAAAGATCACATTTGTAGACTATAGTTGTCGTAAAAAGCGACTGTAATTCACAAACGACACAAACGGAACAACCTATGGAACTGTGTATGACAAAAAAGATATATTATCATTGTGAAATTACACTTTTAGCCCTCAAATTAACAACAACATGATAGAAGATCAAAAAAAGGACTATTTGTGGAAAGGTATCCATAAAAGAAGGACCACTAGGGTAATTGTTAAATATATCAATTATTTAATATATTTAATATTATATATTATAATTATGGTTGTTACCTATTATAGTTAGAGTTATTATTATATAATATTACCTTATATATTCAGCCATTAATGTGGAGGATTCTAGAATATATTCATCCACCTATAAATACATACTTTGTATTCCTCTTCTATTATTCAAGCTATAAAGCATACTTTGTTATTTTTACATGGTATCAGAGCCACCGTTCTTGGTGACCTAAATTTCTCCGCTTTCGCTTCTGGCGGGCGGCACCGCCATTAACTGCCGCTCGCCGGATCACTGTTTTCCTCTGACCCAAATTCTTCACCATCTCCTAAAACAACAAAGTTTTCTAGTTTTTTTGTTATACAAAAAAACTCTGTTATAATCACCGGCATCTCTAACGTCATCCTCTTCTCCTAAGCGCCGCAGCTCTGACCGGTGACACCTACTCCACCAAACTATTGGCGCCAAGATCATCACCTCAACCTGCTTAGTGGGTAGATCTTTGGTCAACATGCATCTCTGGCAGTACCTCATTCCTTGTGTTTCTTCTCTAACCCAGTCGCGCACAACTCTAGCGCGCGTCAACCTTCTCTCTCTTTCGACGTCAGCAGCATGAGTCTGTTCGTAGCGGCTTTTCTCCTCTCCTCATCAACACCTTCACATCTCTTTCCTGGCAATCTTTCTTCTTCTTCTCTTCTAGGCCGGATGCATTCAGTCTACTCTAGCCGAAGATATGCCTCTAGCTTTTGATTACAATTATGGTCACGATTCAAGTAAAGTTGGCGTTCAATTTTCACCGTTCAGGACGTTGGGAGCATGTTAAATATATCAATTATTTAATATATTTAATATTATATATTATAATTATGGTTGTTACCTATTATAGTTAGACTTATTATTATATAATATTACCTTATATAATTAGTCATTAATGTAACACCCCAACCCGCGTGACCCGAATACGAGGACCAGCGGATCGGGTTGCTACTAGATTGGCATTCAGACACAATAATTTTCAGAACATTTAAAACATTTAATTCAAAAACAATATTTATAAATATTCATCGGAGTTCACAAAACGGTGCGGAAGCCTTTAAGTATTTAATCAAAATACAACTTTGGGTTCTTGCCCTTAAAAACATAATTAATTCAAACTTAAGTATTAAATAATAAACTCCTCCAGCCAGCATCCATCCATCTCTCTGCCCTCGCTGCCCTCCAGGATAGTTCTTTATTCATCATTCATGTTACCTACGTGTAGCAAATAGGAAAAAGGGCTACACGCTCAGCATTGAAGCTGAGTGGAATCTATCTAACGTTCGACTACGCACATAGACGAACCCACTAGCTCANCTTTAAGTATTTAATCAAAATACAACTTTGGGTTCTTGCCCTTAAAAACATAATTAATTCAAACTTAAGTATTAAATAATAAACTCCTCCAGCCAGCATCCATCCATCTCTCTGCCCTCGCTGCCCTCCAGGATAGTTCTTTATTCATCATTCATGTTACCTACGTGTAGCAAATAGGAAAAAGGGCTACACGCTCAGCATTGAAGCTGAGTGGAATCTATCTAACGTTCGACTACGCACATAGACGAACCCACTAGCTCATAATTCCATACAATATCATGCACACAAGTTTAACAGTATAATATCACATAACAATCATTAAATAAATTCACCAGTCACAAATCATTACCTTATTTCCTCTTTATTCGTTGCTCATAACATAATTACCAGACTAAGTCCATACCTCCTTATTTACAACCTTATGTTCGGGTTTAGAGTCACTACCTACGGCCATGACTCAAGTCTACCTTATTTAATACCTTATGACACAACACAACCTGATGACCAACGAAGGAGTTCTCCGCTGGGTGGGTGGTACCCCTGTCCCCTTCGGAACGACAGTTCTTGGATCCCGTACGTACGTTTTAACCCGCAGCCGCCAGATATCAGATCCGCAGGGCTGATCCTATCTATTGACATTTATACTTACAATTGTGCTAAAGCAGTCCTAGAGCTCCTCTAGGTAACTTAGCCATTTACTTACAACATCTCTACCATTCAGACTTATTCCAACATAAATCTCTATTTCTTATTTACTTCCAAATTACAACATGATTACATTTAATTAACACAAGAGGGGTAACAATTATCAGATAACCAATCATATAACTCAACTAGCGACCTAGTGGCGGGTGTAACCACCTTCCACTTACCGTCATGCAAATCACACAATTTAGAGTAAGAATACATATCTGGTCATCCTCGTTCAATCAATTCCAATATTATCATAAGATATAAATAAATCACAATTCAATTATAAACAAATAAACCACGTAATCAATCATACGAAACTACGAACGTGAATTTCAAATCTATATACACAATCTAGCTTTAGATATGCAAGTTCTGACCTCGATTAATTGACGAATTAAACAAATCAAATTCTCAAGAAGATGTCGGCCAACTCGGCAGCAGAGCAGCGGCTACCCAATGGCCTCCGATTCGTGGCGGCAGACAGCTCCTCCAGCGAACGGCGGCGGCGATTAAAAGACCATTTCGTGCGGCTCTGTTTTGTTCCCTTCCGCCGGTACTGACGCACTCCGTAATCCTTTGTTCTTCCTCCTTTTTTTTTCCTTTTGCGTGCGTTTGTGTTGGGTATATAATGTATATGTATAATAATGGTGGGGAGGGTTTGGGAATCCTTCTACGGGTAGAATTAGGAGTATTATATTGATTTATTATTATTTTATTATAAAATCCTTATATTTATTTATTGAACCGTAACATCTATTTAACTCACCACGCTTTACATGTATGTCCAAATTTAACAAATTATATACCGTTGGTCACCATTTTACGAGATCTATTCGAAAACCCAATTTCCATTTAAAACGGATAACTTTACAAATAATTCATATTTTAGAGTAAATAAATATTATACTTATTTTTATTAAAATCGCGGCTAACTACTAAGCCGGTTTTTGGGTCGTTACAATTAATGTGGAGGATTCTAGAATATATTCCTCCACCTATAAATACATACTTTGTATTCCTCTTCTATTCATTCAAGCTATAAAGCATTATTTGTTATTTTTAGAGTAATATTTGATAATAGAGGACTAAATAGGGAAACCCCCTGTTATAAAGGACCAATTATGGAATTTACTCTAAAACATATGTTCAATAAGGTAGTTAGGATTTGCTTAGTTTCCTATATGATTAATGGTGGACCTCCTATATGTAGATCTATAGTGGACCATCATATGTGTGTGTGTGTATTCTTAAAGTTCATCATCATGGTATATTATTTTTAAATTTAGAGCATGATTCAATCTCTATTTGTAAAGCATAAATTGCCTAATCATCAAATTATAAAGCTTAAACTACCTAATAATTAAACTCAAACACAAAAATAGATGGATGTAAAATGAATTGAAAGGAATTGTCTTGTATATATACTCCCTCCGTTTCCCAAAATCCTTCTTTAATTTTTTGCATTTTTCTTAAAACACTTGCTCTTTCACTTTTTTCTTAAACTACCCCTAAACCTGATTTTACCCAATCCCCTCGCCCACCTTATCCATCCCATCTTCACAACCCAACCCCTCATCTAGAAAGATCCACCCTTCGTTCCCCTGGCGATTCTTCTCCTCTCCTCACCTTTCTTTCTTTAGAATCGGATCAACTTCATGGCTGCATCCTCTTCTCCAGATCTGAGCATGCCCTTATTTCGCTTGCTCTCTGATAGCGATGAGGACCAACCTAAGCCTCATCGTACTCAGAAATATTTGAGCAAGCACAAACGATCCATAGCTGCCTTGAAACATCATGTTGATCCGCTTCCATCAAGTTCATCTAACACTGATCCTTCGTGGAATTTCCAAAAAAAACCTAGGGGTGAGCATATGCCAGATGAAATTGAGTGTTGATCAGATCTGGAAGAAGATTCATCAGATCTTGTTTTGGGCAAACTAATGATGCGAACAAAAATTTATCTTAATGTTTATTAAAGTTGCATAATTGTAACGCCACCCCATTTTTTGTTTGGAGGCTTACAAAGCTCAATTACTGTTAGATGTTTGTTCAGGCATTAGTGAATGTGTTTGTGGAATTTTTTCTGTGTGGCATTGAAGATTATGCTTCCCTCTTTTGTTATGGTTGCCGTGTGAAATGTAAAGGTTTTGGTGGATAGAAGGTTTCCACTATTCATGACAACTTAATCATTATTATGCTCCTTAATTGTAATCTTCCTTTTCTATCAACCCCACGTGAGATATGTGTAAATTGGGAAAGTCTTTTCTAGAAATTGGGTTTCTTATTTTAGCATTAAGTCATGATGGATGTGAGATGTGTAGTATATATCCTGTGTGAATATCTGATTCTTTAGTGTCCCTAAAGTTTGAGCTCTCTTTCTTTAACTGCCTATGATGGATTTTGAATCTGTGGTTTCCTATGTTGTTCTCTAAGGTAGTTTGTCCCTAAATGACTGTGTGCCTTTCTTTGTTGCCTATGATAGGTTAGAAATGTGTTTTACCCTATGTGTTCCATGAGGCAATTTGTCCCTAAGCTTTCATGTCCCTCTCTTTACTGCCTATGATGGATTTTGAATGTGTGGTACCCTATGTCATCTCTGAGGCAGTTTGTCCCTTTGGTTTGAGGTCTCTTTCTTTACTGCATATGATGGCTTTTAAATGTGTGGTATCCTATGTGTTCTCTGAGTCCCTCTCTTTAATGCCTATGATTGAAGTCAATTCTATGAGGCATTTTGACCCTTAATAGTTCATTGAATATACAAATGCAAAGAAAAGACTTTTTATAGTCATATAATGATGGTTTTAAATATCACATGTAGTATTACATCATTACAAGATGTATACATGTGGTGTACACTTGCACCAAAAAACAAAAAATATTGTGCATTTGCAAACCACATGTATTACCAAAAAAATGTACACAAAAAAACTGCCATTTTCTCTTTTAGTTGTTCACTTCTGAAATGTGGAGCACCTCTTCATACACTTCAGTCCCAAGTTTTGTGGAAGTATTCCTTCCCTAGACAGCCTTTCCTTCCCCATGTGAGGTTTCTTGAAATTATTTCCTCCTTTATGCCTCCTTGATAGATTAATAACACATTGTTTAAAACATGTGGTGTGAGTTGTTCAAATGATGTTGTGATAGCATTTATGAGATCTCCAATGATCTGTGTGCACTCTTGTTTTGTATTGCATCTATTGCCCTAAAGAAGCCAAGGTCAAGAACATTTAAATCTGGGTTATTGGGGGGGCTGAAATTGCAACCTTATATCCCAATCACCCTCTTGTGCAGCAATCACAAAAACTGGGTCATTAATATCAACATGTGGTTTGGCAGTATCCTGTTGTATGACTACATGCTTAGAACTCTGTGACCATTTTTCCCTTATTGTTGCTATTAGTTGATGTACCATCATTTCTCTCATGACATCTCTTGTGATTTTTGGAATGGGCTTTGTTTCCATTGTACTAGTAGGCCTATTTTTGTTTGTCCTTTTAGCAGCTTCTTGAAATTCGAATGGGAATATGCCTATTTTCCCATCCCACAGTACCTGACCATCATCCCTAAACCTAGGACGCCCTACAGTAGCCAAAAATATATTTTTGGGAATATGAGTTTTGGACTGTATGGTTCTGTAGGGGGTTGCCTCATTAGGTAAGGTGTAGAAAGTCTTTTTGGGCTTGCTCAACTCAAACCACTTCTCATCAATATGTATATAATCATAACAATGATGGAATGTTGGGTTATTTGGTAGGGATGTAGGAGAAAGTAATGACAAACAATACCTTACCCTTTTTAACTTACCTTCATCACATAGATGAGATTTAATAGCATTGGAGTGTCTTCTTATTTTTTTTCTTCACCATCCTATATGTTGTACTAGTTGACACATTAAGGCAGTGGCTTAGGGCAAGTAGGGTTTTCCGCTGGTGTAATGGAATCTCAGTCAGCTTTGAAATGTCCAAATTGAAACCTTTTTGCCCCGAGTTACCTTCCCACCTGCAATCAACATTCACTGCTTGGCCCTATCTATTTGAGCTTTTGCAGCTTTCCATAGCTCTCCAACCCAACGAGGAGATATGTTGAATTCATTAGCCATTGTTATCAGTGACCCATGCTGAAGTTTGCCGTTTTTGAAATTTTGTAATATTGCCTCTATTATCCGCTGCCTTCTTTCGTTTCTTGCTTGCACACCAGAAATACATGAGATATTATTTATTTCAGTGGTGTTGAAAGCTTCAAAATCTACTTCCAACAGTGGAGGCAGGTAGACATCCGCAGAGTCGTCGTTGGCATCTCCAAAATGTGAGGAAGTTGGAAGAGTTGACGCTTCTATCAATGCCAATTGAAGGCAGACAGATTCTATGGAGCATTTATTTTTCATTGAAGACATGTTTAGGGAGATGAATGCATTTAATGCTTTGGTGTATTTATATTGAGAAGTGGTAGTATTGGGTTGAAATATTTGGAGGGTTTTTTAAATTTTTTCCCAAACAAAAAATTTGTAAACTTTCCCTCTTTTAATATGGTTGTCGTGTGAAATGTAAAGATTTTTTGTGGAGTCATTTAATGCTTCCATTATTCATGACAAGTTAGTCATTATTATCCTCATTATTTTATTCTCACATTTGCTATGTACGGAATGTACCCCACGTGAGAGTGAGGATAATTTGGGAAGGTCTTTGCCAAAATATTGGTTCCTTATTTTGGCTAAAAGTTAAAACAAGAACCCTTTTGGGAAATAGATGGAGTATTTCTTAATTTTCTTCTGGAGACCGGTTTTTATGACATTGCCCGGCAATATCATGGAATGACCCGAGGGGGCTCTGTTGCCCCGTTCGTAAAATTGACGGTTCCTATCCCCCTACCCCCCCCCTCGGTAACCCCCCCGACCCGAACACACTCCCCCAGCCCCTCCAGTTTCACCCCACAAGTTAATTTTGACTTTGGAGTCAAATTTTAACTCCAGAATCAAAATTAACTAGTGGGGTGCAATTAAAGGGGGTGAAGGAGTGTGTTCGGGTCGGGGCAGGGTGGGAGAATTTACTAGAGGGAGGTAGGAACTGTCAATTTTAAAAACGGGGCACTGGAGCGCCCCGGGTCATGTCACGCCATGACATGAGGTTTCAATGTCACGGGAACCCCACCATTTTTTTCTGTCTTGGTTTAGTACAACCACCCCAAATTTCTATGTATTAAGTCGAATGATTTTTTTTGTTTGAGGCCGATAATTAAGCAAATGTTTGAGGCCGATAAGTAATCATGACACTTGTCACCCTCTTAAAGCATCAACTCTCAAATGCTTTATGTATAAAGATATACTCCCTCCGTCCCATAAAAATGGGTACGTTTTGACTAAAGTAGAAATTAAAGGAGGAATAATATTGTGTTGACTTTCCAAACATACCCTTGATGTGATGTGTAAATTATTAGAAAAAAGGTATGATGTGATATGTAGGATTTGAAAAAGTAAGGGGTAAAAGTGGTTTTTTAATAGAAATGGGTAAGAAATTATGAGACACAATTTTTTAAAACGTGTAAATCTTTTTGGCACGGAGGGAGTATATAACCTGTTTTCAATATTCTTGCATGGCAATGTGTTTGTATCATACAGAAATAGTTATTGATTCTTTATTAGAATCTCTTTTATTTTCTTTAGACACACACGTACAGAGAGGGAGAGAGACTCTTTGTGTTCATCCCCGTTAAAAAATTGACATTGGTTTGTAGTCCAATAAGACATTGGGTTGTGGTCCAAATATGGGGTTAAATGTCTATTCCGTTTAAAATTAACGAATCATACCTAAAATGAATAAAACATGGCCCCTCTAATTTTTTTAATCAAATCATACCTTTACTTTTTATTTTTGCAAATAATCATCTCCCCATTTTAAAGTTTATATTAGCAATGTTACTCCGTATAATCCATTGGATGAAGAGGACAGATGAAGTAGCGCAAGATAACAATTTCCTCATTAGAATCTCATTTACTTTCGGGTGGCTACTTCCACAGCTACATAACAATTTCCTCATTTTCCTGTTTCAAATCGGCAGTGGCCGGTGGCAACAACAGAGGTTGACAGGGTTCAGATGACGCACCTATAAAAACCATTGTTCCAACAACCAATGAAGATATTGTGCTTTCCTTTGAGAGAACACAGAGGGCACTCAAAAGAGTCTTTCAAGTTTCTTAGGACTCTGGCATTAACACACGACACTAAATGAAGCCAAGAGTGTTGCAGTCCATACTATTAGGGTCCGTTTGGTATACGGAATTGGAATTGAATTGGAATTGAAATTCCATGAGATTCAATTCCATAGAAATGATTTCTGTCAACTTCAATTCATTTTTTGCACTATCAATTCCAAATCCGCATAATTTTTGTGCTACCAAACACCAGAATTGGGATTGATGTCCTCAATTCCAATTCCATAATTTGAATTCCGTGTACCAAACGGGGCCTTAGGATTCGTTTGGTACACGGAATTGACACAATTGGAATTGAATTAGAAATTCATGGAATTGATTTGGATGAAATTGAGTTCTCCAATTCCAATTCATTTCTAGCCCTACCCAATCCAAATCCACATATTTTTGTACCACCAAACAGCAAAATTGAAATTCTCTTGATTCTTAATTCACCTTTATATTTTTTCTTCTTTTTCTTTTTTGTTTCAGTGCTAAAATCCTCTTGATTCTTAATTACTCACTTCATCCACAAATAAACTTTCCGTTGCAGGTTATGATGTTTGATTCACGTGTATTCTCTTATTCATTCACTTTACTGAACATGTCTGGTTGGATTGATCTTCAACAATAATTGGGAATGTGGGCCGAGCCACATAATATTTCCCATCAGCGTTGATAGTGTGACAGTTAAAATGTGACAATGTGGTTAGTGTGACAATGTAACAAAGACAATGTGAACTCTATTTTGGTCTTAAGAAACTTGTAACTCATGTTTTGGTATTTTCATATTTTTTTTACTCCTATCCAAGGAGTTCTCCCTTTAATGTATTTATTCTTATAATAGGAAATATAATGTCTGATGGGAAATAATACGTGGCTCAACCCACATTTCCTAATATTGTTGAAGATAAATCTAACTTGACATGTTTAGTAAAATGAAGGAATAAGAGAATAACACCCGAAGATGCTTCTCATCCTTCCCTATAAAAGAAGGATATGTCCTCAATGTTAAGGAATGCCTCTCTCTACATTACTCCCCTACCCACTATTCTCTCTCTCTCTCTCTCTAATTTGTTGTATTATTGCTCCATTAATAGTTTCTAAGTCCAAAAAAATTACCGTGTACAGCCCCTGATATTAATAATAATCATTATTATTTACTCCGTAATTGAGATGCCAATTAACAAATGGTAACTTTAAAAGAGATAAAATTTTGCCTATTGTGCAAAAAAAGAAAAAAAATGGACAGAGGGAGTATATTATAGTACTTCCACCATCCCAAATTAATCAATCATATTTCCTTTTTGGGATGATTCAAATCAATCTTCTACCTTCCTTTTTTAGAAAGCTTTTTGTGGCACACATTTTTCTCTTTTGCATTACATTTAATTATACAATTTTACTTTTCTTAAAATTCGTTCAAAGTCAAACCATGAGAATTATTTTGGGATAGAAGTAATATACTTCGTCCCATAATAGATGTCATTCTCCGCAAAACAAAGAAAAAAATCATATTTTAAAATTGATATGTACAAACAAAACATAAAACTTTTTTTAAAAATTCTGTTAAATTTTCTAACAAAATAAATCATGAAAACAATACTGAATTATTTTATTTTATCAAATAAGCCATTAAAAAATACAAACAAAGAAGTTTTTATTAAAAAAAAGAGAAACCCCCTCCCGAGCACCACCACATCTTGGTCCGACAAGATAATGAAGGAGTTAAATTATGATATAGTTTTAATTTGGTCTCTAGAGAGGCCAAATTAAAAGTTTTTTGGCCGCACAAAGAGGTATTACAAAAAATAAAAACTTAGTAGTTTTTATAAAATTTGAATAGAAATTTGTAGCACTGTAAATGGGCAATAAAAAATTTGATTACCGTCTGCATCCGGTTACTCAGAAAATATGCACTTGTGTTTAAAACAGTTATCCGTATCTAATTAAACACATTTATCGGTAAACAGATACAGATTTGTTAGTCATACGTCCAATCTGTTTATAATATCATCCACATATACATCCGTTTTGAGTAAGTGTTTATTTGGATATCAAATTTGTTATATATAATTTTTATCAAATTTTTATTTTTATCCTTTGTTTTTCTATTAATATTTCAAAATATAAGACATTTTAATATCTAAATCATATGTGTAGACATATCCCATATGAGTTTTTGTAGATTAGTATAGGTTACAAAAAATAAGAAAAATATTATTCCCTAACAAATTGTAATTGAATGAATATATTTAAAATATTTATATATTGTGCTCCTTATGTAGTTTAATTTGACTTTGAAAATTTGGAAACAAATACAGATATATACGATATCAGACAGATATGGATACAATTTTGATCTTTAGCATCTTTAAATTTTTTTATCTGAAATTGATATCTAAAAAAAATAAACGAATATGAATTTAGTAATTGCGCATCCGATCTAATTAATACTACGTACTCCGTATCAATTTAAGACCTTAGAATTGGGCATATTGGGTATTACTCCGTAGTGTACTGATTATTTTCTAAAATCAGTCCAGGCCCAAACCCATTTCATCTCTGCGCTCCATCTAAACTAAACGAACACGCCTTGCAGACAGTAGCCGAGAATCCATCGCCTCTTTGTTCCGATTTCTGAATTTCCTTCTGGAGTTGCAGGTCTGTATCTTCGATTGATTAATTAACTCGAATTCTGTTTTTTTTAATAGAGAAGTTATTGAATAACTGATTGATGTTAATTCGGCTGTTTTATTTTGTTTCCTTGGGCGATTTAATTTTCATAATTTGCAGAGTTCAGACTTTTCTCTTTAGTTATATATCCCCATTTTTTGCCTAATTTCTTCTGGAATTTACTTTTCAACTCCTGCGCTTGCCCAAGTGCTACTCCATCTCTAGCACCAAATCCTTTGGGAATTTACCAGTTGAGTTATCTTTTTCTCATGATTTTTCTAATACTCCTTATAATTGTTTAAATTCACTTGTTTACTGTGTTAAGATTTCATCTTCATATGTGTATGAGATATACTTTTTATTTCACATGGGATTGATTTTAATTAAGGAATTAATCATTCTAGTCAAGGATTTAAAATACTGGGCTAAATATAATAATTGGAACACTCCAATTTAAAATTACTTTATGGAATCAACATTCATTTTAGCTAATATGAAGGGATATTCATATAATCATATTATTATTACGTAGCATTATGTAGCTGTCAATTTTAGCTATGGGTTGTCAATTTGGTAAATATATGATCTGCAAGAGATATGAAGGGATATTCTTATTATTAACTAGTTGAAGTTGCTAATAGAAATGTAGGAAGTTGTATCTTTGGCAACTTCCTGTTAGGGGTGAATCGAGGGTCTTATCAAGTTGTTATTTTTGGAGATAGAATTGTGGAATAATGAAGGGGAAATGGGCTTGATGAAAATATGGGAATGTGAAGGAGTTCTTTTTGGGTTTTGATATTATAAAGAAGAGTGGAAAATCAAGGATGAATGATGGGTTTAGAAAGGATGGGATAAATTCCAAATAAGGAATAAGAGATAAACACACTCTTATCTTTATTTGGAGCCAAATTAATACCAAAGGATAAGCTCACCTCTAGATTAAATTAGGGTTAAACTCTAGTATTTAATCAAGATATTATACACTCAGTCAAATAACTAGAACCTAAAACTCACACTGAAGATAACCACTATTAAGATATAGAATTAGGAATTTGGCTAAAATAACATCACACTATTTTAAGAATACTCAAAGAGTAAAAGGTTTTTAATATGATTCCATTGTCCCTGACATTGCCCTAAGGCTACATTATATAGGGAGAGGGGAAGGGGAAAATAATACACAATACAATGAGTGTGAGCATGAGGAAGCTTCCTAGCAACATCCTCTCTCAAAGCTTTGAAATATCAGCCATGTGTTTGGGTCCTCTTATTGGAATAAAATCAGGGAGGGGTGTGGTTGTAGGGTCTCTAATGAAGGGCAAATCAAGGGGAATGAATGACATTCTTTTGGGTTGATTTCGGGGGATGTATTCAGCCAACCAGGGGGACAAAGGGAAAGAGTGATGTGTGGTACTTTGGCTGCATATATGAGGATTTAGTTTGTGGTTAAAGGGTTAAGAAAGTACTATGTGTCTCTTGGCCTTTTATGGTTGTTTAGTGGGCTGGACTAGGGAACATAGTAGGGACCATGTTGGGTGAATGTTGGGAAAATGAATGGGGCTATTTTGGTTTATTATTTTTGACCAGGGGTTAACATAGCTGGAAGAGACTTTATTTTGGATATCAAAAGTAAATAAAATACTTGGGTTGGGTTGGACGGAATGGGGGTTGGCCAGCGGAACCCTTAGGTCAATAACGAAAGTTATTTTGGCCTTTCGGGTTAAAAGACCTCTTTGAATTCTCACGAAAATGGATCATAATGTTTGAACATAAGTCCTTTGGCTCCCATGATTGTGTGAGGCGTGGGGAAGGACCTAAAATTGTCGGGCTAGGATACATCATCTTCCCGGTCTTCAAAAGAGTTTGCCCTCAAACTCAACGGATAATCAAGACTGTCATATGGATTGAGGTCTCTCTTATTGAACGTGGCAGAAACTCCATCTCTTCTACTGAGAGCAACTGTGTAAGCATTGTTTTTTACCTTGGCTACCACTTCAAATGGACCATCGTCTCGAGGTTGAAGCTTTGCCTTGCGTTTGTCAGAAAAACTCTCTCTTTGCACATGGACCCACACTAGGTCTCCGGGATGAAAGTGGATGGAAGTTTTCAACTCCTTTGTCTTCATAAGCTTTTCACGAGTCTTATGATAAAACTCGGAAGTCTGTTCATCACATGGAACCTGCAAAAACTTAACAAACTTGGCACAAGGTACCGTGAGCGAAGATAGTCTATGAGGTGAGGCTTCCACATCTTGGCTCATAGCTGCACGTTGAATCTTCTTCTCATCAACTTGCACATTTAAGCTAGTTAAGCCATAGCCTAAGAACTCATCTCTGGTGGCAGATACATCCTTCTTCTCTAATTCACCGTTGGTCTTGTTATCACCTAAACTTAGAGGAGTCCGTTGTTCTCTCCCTTGGTGAGGCGTGGAAATGGGTAGGAATAAACATGTGGGTTCCCTTTTTCTCAATGGATACACATCAACATATCCAACAAAATCAGGTGGCCATGGCTTGTCAACATAAAACAAAGAAAAACTACGACACTACCAATTGACCCCTTATGAAGTGGTGGTATAATACACATTACCACACAGCTAATCAATTGACCCCTTATGAAGTGGTTTATGGACAGCCTGCTCCTGTGTATTTTCCTTACCTGGGGAATTCAAGGTGGATTTAGTGGACAGAAGTATGCAACGAAGGCAACAAGTACTTACCCAGCTTAAGGGCAACTTACTCAAAGCCCAACACAGAATGAAGAACCAGGCTGACAAGCATAGGACGGAAAGGAGTTTTGCAGTTGGAGATTGGGTGTGGTTAAAGCTGCAGTCATATAGACAACAATCTGTCCAACAAAGGAGCAATAATAAGCTATCTCCTAAATACTTTGGTCCATTTCAGATTGAAACCAAAGTTCGACAGGTGGCTTATAAGCTCAAGCTTCCAGACACTTCTAAGATACATAATGTCTTTCATGTCTCTCAGTTGAAGCCATTTAGAGGAACTCTACTAGTAGCAATCCATATTCCTGGCTGGTTATAAGGTCAACTTGCAGGAGAACATCCCATTCCTCTGGCTATCCTAGACAAGCAGCTGAAGAAGGTCCAGAATAAGGCACAAGTATATTACTTGGTTCAATGGGAAGGCTATAGCAGACTAGAAGCTACATGGAAACCAGCTGAAGACTTTATGGCTAATTACCCTGATTTTCCACTAAATGTGCAGACTTGAGGTCAAGTCTGCACATTTATTTGAAGAGGAGAGCAATGATAAGGGTTGTTAGTAGTTGTGAGTTTGTTAATAGTGGTTACAGGGTTTGTTACAAGTTGTTAGTTGGTTAGCTGATGTGGCAAAGCATTTTGAGTTGTATAAATACATATGGCTATGCTTTAAAACACAATAATGATGAAATCAATCTTCTTCTTCTTCCCCCTAAATATCTTTTCCGGTTCTTCCTCCCCAAAATATCTTTCCTTCTTCCCCAATCTTCTCAGACATTCATAGCAAGTTCAATGTGCTATATCGCAGCAACAAACTCTTTTGAGGGTTTTCTTTTTTTCCTACGAGTGTAGCAACTAGAAAGTGTAATGAGTAACATCAGTTGGAACTATCATGGGTTGGGTAACCGGCAAACAGTTAAGGAAGTGATGGATTTGAGAGTGAAGATCGGTTTTGATGGTTGTTTTGTGGTGTATAGTGTGGGTTTGAGCAGGGAGTTAGCGTTTCTCTGGAGATCTAACCATATGGCTAGCCTGTTGGGTTTTTCGAGGTTCCACATCAATGTTATTATTGTTCTTAGTGGGGCTCAACTGTGGCGAACCGTGGTGGCTGACCTGCTTCTATGGCAACCCATACAGAGATCAAAGGCAGACTTCTTGGAATCTACTCCGTACTCTTAGAGGAAGATCCTCGGTGCCGTGGTTGGTGGTTGAGGATTTTAACGATCTTTGTGTGGCTTCGGAGAAGCGTGGTGGTAATCCGCGCCCTCCTTCACTAATATTTGGTTTTAGAGAGACTCTTGAGGAATGTGGTTTGCACGATATTAAACTTTGTGGCTACCAATTCACTTGGGTTCGATGGGGGTGGATCAGCTAAGTGTATTGAGGAACGTCTTGATTGCGCAGTTGCAATGGTTTCGTGGTTGGACTTCCACCCTCGCGTTGAGCTTTCAAACAATTGGATGAGGTGGTCTGATCACACAGCTCTCTACCTATGTTTAGCTCAAAAGAAGTTCCCTAGGGGTGGCCGCCATTTTATTTTTGAGAATGCATGGACCCGGGATGCTGGCTTCAAAGGAGTGGTTAAGGAGTTTTGGCAGCAATCAACTGTAATGCCTTTTCTTAAAAGGATTGAGACACGTTAGGAAGTGTTGGCAGCAATAAGTTATAATGCCTTTTCTCTTACATTCTTGATAAAATTGGTCAACGTATTGGGGGCTGGAATAAGAAGTTGTTGTCTAAGGCAGGTTAGGAAGTGTTACTGAAGACTGTTGCTCAAGCTATACCTCAACGTGCAATGAGCAGTTTTCTTCATCCTCGTTGTGTGTTTCAAGATTGGGCGTCTTATGAATTCCTTCTGGTTGGGAAGCAATTGTGCCCAGGCGAATAGGATTCATTGGTTATCTTGGGAAAGAGTGACAGTTCCTATAAAGTTTGATGGCCTTGGTTTTTAGAATATTCACTCCTTTAATGTTGCTATGTCGGGGGAAGCAGGGATGTTGTTTTCTTTCAGCTCCAAACTCACTCACCAGTCTTGCGGGTTTTTAGAGCAAGATGCTTTCCGAATTGTACTTTTCTTGATGTTGAGTTGGGTTCGACTCCGAGTTACTGTTGGAGGAGTATTTTGGCGGCTCAAAATCTTATTTGGGGAGGTGTTCGACGCAGAATTGGCAACTGTATGGAAACTTTTGCATGGGGATCTCCTTGGCTACTTGACGAGAGTGACGAGACTATTCCAATGCTTGAGACAAGTCAGAAGTCTACACATCTTAAATTCTTTGGTGTGCAATTGGTTAATCCTACGGTGCCGTGTTGGAATGTCGAAGTTCTTCATACTTTGTTACTCCCTCGGGACGTAGCTCAAATCTCAGGGGTCCCCTTAGTTGCCAATAGTAGATATTGTTGGCATTGGAAGGGTGAGTTCCAGAGTCAGTATACCGTGAAAGATGGGTATAGGCAACTCATGGGTGAGGCGCCTCACATATCTGCGTTTACACCCATTGGGGAAGGCTTTGGAAAATTGCAGGTCCTATGAAAGTCAAAGTATTCTCCATACCATTTCTAAGCACTTTGACTCATCAAATTCTCTCAATGTGTAAGCCTAAATATAGTCACGTGTGATCTTGTTTGATTTGTCTTAACATATAGATTATTACTATATAGTTTTTATAATTTTTTAATATACAAATTACAAGATAAAATGGATTAAACAAGTGCATTAGATGGTGGGCAAAAATGAAAGTGGACAAATACAGTAGGACGGAGGGAGTAGTTTCATCATCGCCTTCAACATATGCTCTTAACAGTAATTTGTTTTAACTTTTTAAAAGTTAGTTCGGCAGATTCCCATGTTACCGTAGTTAGAATTTAATGTAACATTTGTTATGACTTATACTTGTCATTCTAAACTCCACATTAGAAATATGGCTAAATAGCGTTAGTATCCCCGTGATTTGCAAAATAGGCAACAATATCTCCTCTGTTTCTAAAACTTATTTCTAAAGTTCTTGTGGTTTCAAAACGCTGCACCCGTGCCCCCTCTGATTATTTTTTGGTCATTTTTCCGGCGAAGAAGAGGGTATTCATGCATATTTTCTAAATCATGGGGGGTACTAGTGCTGATTTTTTATTTCTCTCTTTTTTCCCCATTTTTTTCATTTATTTGTTTCATTTATTAATAAAGGTTATTTTACAATTACTTTTATAATGTTCTTAAAATTTAAATTTATTTTTGTTTGAAAAAATTAACATATAATGCATCGGCACGTCTCAAATTAACAATTTTTGTTTTTTTCTGAAGAAAGGTAATTTTTTTAGAACTTCTAAAAAATGATGAATAAAATAAGAAACAAAATAATACAAAAATAAAAATGATTATCCTTTTTGGACATCTCAATTTTAAGGATATTTTTAGGCGTGTTCCAAAATTGTTTTTTGTAGAAGACTCTTTTTTTCGAATTTTAATTTTTTTCATTTCATTTTTCCATATTTTTATTTTGGGTTTTCTTTTTGAACTTTCCAAAAATTATTCTATGTAAGAAAAAGTGAAAAATGTTTAATTTGAGATAAATGTAATGTATGTTAATTTTTTTATTAGTTCAAACAAAGAATTTTAAAAAAATTTAAAACATTATAAAAAATTGAAAATAAATTTTAAAAAAATAATCTAGGAAAAGGAAAAAGAAGGAAAAACACAAATAATAAACGAGAAATAAGAAATAAGCACGAGTGCCCCATATGGTTTAGAAATTATGCGCCAATGCCCCTTCTTAGCCGGAAAATGATCAGAGGGGGTGTGGGTGCAACATTTTGAAACCACAAGGACTCTAGAAATAAGTTTTGAAAACAGAGGGAGTATTGGTGTCAATTTTCCTAACCACAGGGGGCACCGGAGCTATTAGGCCTTAGAAATATAGCTAGACTTTCAAATTTTTTTAATAGAGGTCCACGTAGATAATTTATCTTTTGCAAAAAATCTATCTAACAAAGATTATATAAAAATTATATAAAAATTTTCATTGATTATATGGGTCCAATTTTCCTTCTTTTATATGCAAAAAAAGGCATGAAATTAGAAATTAATTTTCATACAACAATGTAATACTCTCTCATTCTCTCCATCTGAATGAATGTTTCCACCAGTTCATTATAGAGTGCGGTTTTATTGCTTGGACCGGACCGGTTTGGTGTCCGGTTCCCGTTCCGGTCCGATTTTTAAAATTATGCATGCATACTTCACACGGATAGCTGATTATGATTCCTACTCCCCCAGTCCCCCTCCCTTGAACCACCCAGCCTCCCTTCCTAGTCCTTACCCTAGAAGTATACAAAGGCGTTATTTGTCTAGTTTTCATTTTTTATACTCAAAATTAATAAATTTGACTATAAATTAAATTAATTTTTTTAAAGATATTGGTCCTAGGAATTTTTTTCTAGATTTAGCTTGTAGTGTATTTTCAACATTCTTTTTTCTGTATAAGCTTGTTTATTTTACGAAGGTTTTAGCAAATTTAGTTTGTATCCAAGAGATAAAGGAAAAAGTACTCCGGTTAAATATAGTGCTTGCTCTGGTGTAATAATGGTGAGCTGAATTTGGAATAATGGACCATGCTACATCAACACCAAAATTTGTATCTCAAAATTACACTAAAGGTATACATCAATATTTTGATGATTTACACTGACATAAAGTGTTAGTGCGTTAACAAAAATTAACAGTGACATAATGTGTTGGTGCATTAACAAAAATTAACATTATACCAATATAAAATATTAGTGTACAACTGCGGTGTACAAAATAAGGTACAAAGTACAAACCCTTGGGGTAAGTAGTTCTGGAAGAATATATACACGCACCTCCAAATCTCCAATTGCTTCTTGGGGAGTATTAAATTTTTATTTACAAAATCAAACTTTCTTTATTTTATTGTCTTATTTTCTTGTCTATTTAATAAAATAATATAATCATGTCCTCTCTAATTTTGTAGATCATTTAATGTAGTTTTGAAATATGTAATTTTATTTTTTAATTCCATATCATTTTACATATAAAATAATTTGAAAAAAATTCAATCAAACATCGTAACATTTTTCCTTGATTAATTATTCATATCAAGTGCATTGTTTCTCCTAAAACTCTTTTCTCCTTCTTACACTCTTCCTCTCAAATCACATCATCTCACCTTTTTCTTCAATCAAATTCACCTTTATATCTTTTCTTCTTTTTCTTTTTTGTCTCAATGCTAAATGAAAACTGCAAGGGTACACCAAAGGTGTACCCCATGTGTCTCCCACCCCCTTCTTGTTTACTAAAAAGACAAAAAAATTTTAAAAAAATAAGTAAATAAAAATCAAATAATAATGTGTGGTGGAGAAGGGGTGGTGTATATTTGGGGTACACCTAGCATTGCTCATGCTAAAATCCTCTTGATTCTTAATTACTCACTTCGTCCACAAATAAACTTCCGTTGTACTCCCTCCGTCCTAAAATGTTCTTCTCACTCACTTTTTATCCGGTCAAACTTTAATCACTTTCTTTACCTATTTTCATTACACTACAAGAATTAGACAGAATTGCAATGGCAATTTCCGTTGCATTTTTTGTATAATTCCGTTGCTAATGTTGATTGCAACGGATATTCTGTTACAATTTTTCCGTTGCAAAAACCATTGTTGCAGATTCATTTCTGCAACGGATTTTCCATTGCAAAGCAATGCATCGGAAATTTGCAACGAAAATGTTGTTGCACAATGCTGCTACGAAAAACATGCAACGAAAAGGTCGTTGCTAGCGTTTGCAACAAAAATTCTGTTGCAACATAATGCAACAAAAGTTTGCAACTGTTTTTCTGTTACAAAATTTTGCAAGAGAAAAAAGCAACGGAAATTTCAATACTGATATTTGCCACGAAAAATATTCATTTGCAACCAAAAATAATATCTCAACTGCAACGAAATATTTTGTTGCAAAAGTTGAAAAAAACCACGACGTACTACGTGCATGCTCAATTTCACACAAACTTAACCATCAAATGTAGCGGGGATACTCAAACATACTCAAACACATGTATTCCACAAAACAAGTGTTTCAATATTTTCCATAAAACTTCATGTACTTGTCAAGTATCCTTATAATAATATCTATTGTTTTGCATTAATCAATTAAACAATAACCTAACATACATGTGCACTTCCATCACCGTCTGCTCCATCCTGTCTACAAGGCAAACGGTCCCCAAACAATCTTTGCATCTCATCTAGTATCGTTTGGACAATGGGTTCAGGAAGCATCTAGGAAATATCCTCCTTGAGAGCTTGCACGGAAGACGGTTGAGAGGCAACATATGATTCAGTATACTCCTACGACGACGCTTGAAAGATCTCTCACAAGCCATAGTCCTTGACGTCTAGCCTCCCTCAAAGGCACAAGTGTTTCTAGTCTATTGTGTTGAAAATAGAGCCACCAACTTCATTAGCCATTATCTTCATCCCCATTATTTATCTTTTCGAGGAGCATTGGAACAACTTCATCTGCCACTGACTTAAGATTATCCATATACCTCATAAGGTTGTTTCTGAGAAGAGTTAGCACACTTCAAATAGACAGCATAAATTATTATAAATGAAAATGATATAGCCAAAGAATGTAGATATAAATGTTAACAGAATGGATACATAATAATTACTCGTAGTGTAATGATAGTTAAAGTCTACATATTTTTATATATGAGGATATATAACCAAAAGTTTATTTAATGTAAAAAATATATATATCTTAACCCCTCCCCACCACCCACACACACAAAAAGCCTATTGAAAGATTTTAAACTGGAAATTATATCTTCACATCAAATGCTCATAGACATAAAAAAAAAGGAAAAAAAGATATGAGTAAAAGAAATACCTTCTTGAAGATAATAGAGAAAATACCCTCAGCTTTGGCTTGACCTATCTCAATTGGTGCAAACTAGAAAATGATTGTGAAATAAAATGATAGTTAAACAAACATACTTATAAATCTAAAAAAAGAAAGTTTGAAAGAAGGTACAAATTTAAAAGATACTAATCAAACATATGCACAATGTGTCAAATATCACAGTGAACAAACTAACTTTTTACATATACAAGCAAAACCAAAAGATTCAAACAAACAAATAAGTTTTTTCATCTGAAATTGGAAATAAAAAAATGTTCTCTCCTAGGCATAATTTGTGACTTATGAAATGTGATTATGGGAATCTGAAAACAAATTCTAAAATCTGAACTGAGAATATAGAAGTGCATAACTTACATATTGATAGACTGATTAGAGATGGGTGTGCTTAAAACTTGGTTGTAAGACCCACTCGATTAAGTGTTGTATTAACTAAGCTCTACCTGGACCAATTCAACAAATAAACCCACACAAATTTAGATATTTAGTCACTTGTGATATCAAGAAACACAACCATAAAGCAAGAAGAATGCATGTATATTAAAAGGAAGTAATCTAGCAAGTGAACAACAAAAGTAGAGTGAACGATTCTAAAGAGGATATTGAGAAGCTTGGATTAAACACATAAAGAAAAACAAATTGATAAACCTGAATTGAAGCCGGAGAAATCGAAATCCCCAGGTCGCCGCCTGATTCCCGTATGGCGTCACTCAATTCCGATTCGTGGTTAGCCGATCGACGATGAAGACCCGGCCAGCATTGGAAACCGTCCGTCCTGGCTCTGTGTCCAGTTGCCGATCGAGGAGCCGAGCTGTTGAGCCCAAGGTTTTTTTCCCGTCCGTTCCGATCTCAATCGAAAAGAACCCTATCTCATAACATTAAATATCTTTTAATATTGTAAATTTGCCCCCATTTATCTACCAAGTTGCTAATTGGTCCTTACTTTATAATTGGATTCTAAAATCAAACCATAAGTATAAATCAATCCAAAAGAATGGTTTGTTTTTGGGAGAAACACGGAGGAACGATGTAGTGGTTTTTGTTTTTACTCTTTTTTACTGTACTTTTTTAATATTTTATTTAGTTTTTTAGTTTTCTTTTACTTTATGTTTTTTAGTGCTCTTTATGCTTTTTTAGTTTTTAATACATTGAATTTTTTTAACTTTCTTTTTTCACTTTAACTTTTTCAACACATTTATTTTAAATTGAAAAAATAAACTCTAAATTATAATATACTCCAAGGTACATTTTACTCCCTCTGTTCAAAAAAAGATCTTCCTATTATACGCATTACGAAATTTGGCCAATTTTATTTTCTATTCAACTTATTTGATTGTACAGTAGGTGTAAAATTTAAAATTAAAATTTATATAGTAAAAAATTAGATAAAGAATTCTACAAAATACGAGGTGGCGTGACTATCTTATTTTATGAAATGATCAGTTAAAGGGTGGTCAAGTTGTTTTTCAAATAAACCGCTCATTTATTTTTTTAGTTTCAATTAGTTTTTTAAAACCATTTTTAATTTCATATTCTTAGTTTTAATTATTTTTTTAGTTTTTTTAGTTTTAATTATTTTAGCAACAGAGTTAACGCAAATAATTATGCCGTTGCAAAAGTTGAATAACTTGTTGCGAACAGATTGCAACGGAAAAACCATTGCAAAAATCTGTTGCAGAAAACTCCCAGAAAAAGGCGCCAACCTCGCGCCATAATTGCAACAGACATTATTATTTTCCGTTGCAAAAATGACCGTTGCAAAATATTTCTGTTGCAAACAAAATTTCCGTTGCAATAGTGCAACGGAAAAATGTCTGTTGCAATATTTCTGTTGCAAATATGAGATTTTCTTGTAGTGTTAGGTATTTGATAAAATAATATAGTCTTGTCACTACTTGTTTTGTAGACTTTTTGATGTAGTTTTTTTGAATGCTATTGATTCTATTACAAGGTAGTATCTGTTCATACTATTCTCTAGCTAATGACGCACAAAGAGCCAATGTTGCTGCCTTCGCTGGGGCTCGAACCTGGGTGAACTTCCCCATGAATCCTGCCGAGTGGGCTTGCTACCACTCAAGCTAGGGGAGAAGTTCTTGATGTATGTTTTAAATATATAAATTTTATTTTTTAATTTTACACCTACAATCAAATAAATTGAATTGAAAATAAAGTCGGTCAAACCTCGTAAAATGAATCGGGAAGAACATTATAAGGACAGAGGGAGTAGGTTACAATGTTTGACTGAATCTATTTTTAAATCATTTTATGTGAAAAATAGTGTAAAATTAAAAATAAAAATGATATATTAAAAACAATATCAAAACATCTACAAAACTAGAAGTGACATAACTATATTATTTTATCAAATTAGTGACAAAAATAGGCCAAAAAAGTGAATATAGTTTGACTATATGAATAGTGAAAGCAAAATTTATTTATGGACGGAGGTAGTACGTATTAGTAGTTCTTTTTTATTGAAAGTTATCTACATATTCTCTTAAGCCTTAAATTAATTTATTTTTTTGACATACAATATTTGAGGGAGTGAATTCCCACATTGATCATTTATAATAGGGTGTTTTATTCAAATCAGTTTTCAATAAACGGTAATCACGTATGTGGTACTTTAAAATGGATATTTATTTCTTTGATAACCATTTCTAAAAATTGTCCTTCGAATGAGTATTATATATACTATAATTTTGTATTTTTCATCACCTAAAGTATTAGTAAGTTTTTCAAAATTGATTTTTCTAATTAAAAAAAATTCTCAAATTACTCATTTGTGGGTATAATTATAATATCACCTTAATTGTTGAATGTCAATCATGAGAACAATCTCAATTATAAAGCACGTTGCACGTTATTTTTGAGAAATAATTTTGTGGATCCTACTGAATTTAAGTCCAAAGTTGTCCGGATAAGTAAAAATTCCAACATTGATACCATTTCCAAGGGTACTTGGCTGCCTTGGATACTCTGGATGGGCACTATTCCTACCTCACACCTACCCTACTTCAAGATTCTTTTAAATACAGTCCTTGGTCTGGTGTGTAATAATGGTCCGAAGAATATATATATATACATATATATATATATATATATATATATATATATATATATATATATATATATCTGCTTGGTTCTCATGACATTGGGAACCAATGTCACGGGATGACCCGAAGGCGCTCCGGTGCCCCGTTCGTAAAATTGACGGTTCCTACTCCCCTAACCCCCTCGGTAAACCCCCCCACCCCGCCCCGACCCGAACGCACCCCTACCCCCTTCAATTGCACCCCACAAGTTGATTTTGACTTTGGAGTCAAATTTTGACTCCAAAGTCAAAATCAACTTGTGGGGTGCAATTGAAGGGGGTGGGGGGTTTACCGGGGGGTTAGGGTGGGTAGGAACCGTCAATTTTACGAACGGGGTACCGAAGCGCCCCCGGGTCATTCCATGACATTGGTTCCCAATGTCATGGGAACCAAGGTGATATATATATATATATATATATATATATATATATATATATATATATATATATATATTTATATTTATATATATATATCTATATATATATATACACGCATCTCTAATTGCTTCTATTTCACTTTTCATTCATTTCTCCAAATGTTAAGGTATATCGTTCAGTGTTTTTTATTCCAAGCATTATTATTGCAAAAGCTTTTTATTTCAGATCAATTATATATTTTAGGTCGGTGCTTTTATTTCTTTGATGTTATTTATAATATTATTATATTCAATTGGCATGTTAATAATTTTTTTTGCATGGTTATTCTGTCTATGTTCAGGATTTTCAAAATGGCAGATCTCCCTTTGTTGGATTTCACCATTATAGAAAATGATCCTAGTCCATGGCGGGAAGTTTATGGAGGTTGGATTGAGAATGCCCGCGTTATATTGACTTACAGAGAAGATGGTAGTCCTAGATGGTTTGATGTATTACCTCTTGTTCCAGTTAATAGAATTTGTACTTACCGAAATGCGAGGCTTAGGACTAATGGTAATGAAATTACTGTTAATACTCTTTCCGTGCCACAAAATTTTTCTCCTTTCTTTTTTCATTCGTCCCAAAAAACCTTTTTTATTTCTATTAAAAAGTCTCCTTTACCCCTATTTAATCTCAACCTATCTATCCCATCACACATTTTCATTGTTAATTTGTCCATTTTCACATTCCATTTTTACCCATTACATCTAAAAATATTTTCGAAAAGTCAACAACAAAATATATTCTATTTAAATTTTTTAAAAGTCGAATCCGGAAACATTTTGTGGGACGAAGAGAGTAATAATTTGTATGTCTCTGCATTTCAAGTGAGGCATACTTGGTATGCTTTTAGAGATACTCAAGTAGGTGTGCCTTGTACGTATATGAATGTTGATGAGAGTTATACAGAGGTGGTTTCAAAAGCTCGTAGATCACCAACCTCACTAGATCGAACAAGAGAGCCTATCTCGTTAGGTAGAGATGCTATTATTAGCGCAGTGAATGATATAGCAAGTCCATGTTTTGTCAATGACCACGGGATTGCAATCATTAATTACCGTCAAGCCAAAGGTTCTGTCATTCTGTTTCAAATGTTATCAGAAGCGATACGATTTCAAACGGTGCTAGAGACGCTGTTGGGATTACATGATGACTCATCCAGTCCCAATACTCATCGTATTATTTGGGAGCACCAAAATGAATGGTCTCGATTGGGAGGAGTCATTCATAGAACATTCAAGAAAAATCTTCGTGGTGATGAAGAAATGCAGATATTGAAGACTAATTATTTTGTTCGTGTTATTTTGAGGTATTGTATTTGTTACATTTTAGTTAATTTATACGGACGATATATTATTTAGTTTCATTTTTAGTTGTCATATTTTATTGTCACTTAATTGCTTTTAGGTTAGGGTCCATTTGGTTTTGGTTAGGGAGGTGGGTTAGTTAGTTATTCTATTTTTAATTTACTTTGGGTGGTTTGCAGTGATACCGGCAGTAACTCCTTTCGAGACTTATCACCTAGTACTGGATCTAAAAGAAAATGCAAATTAGCTTTAACAGAAAAAGGCTAAGAATTTTGCTCGAAGAAAGGGACATGCCAGACTCTCAATTTCATTTATTGTAACTATACCTTTTACCCCTAACTTTTTAACACTGGAATTTGCTGCATGTAGCTTTCATATTTCTTCGATCCCTGCCCGGTTAGTTTTGAATTTTATGCTGCTGCAATTCCTTTCAAGATTTTTTGTTGTTTGATTGCATCTTCAATTCTGTATTTCTATATTTCTAATATCATTTCAAATTATAGAGTTTTTCATGGTTAGCGTTTTCAAATTGGTTTTTATTCTTGATTTTGGGGTCTCATTTGAAATAGAGTTCAATTCAAACTTCAACTTCAGTTATATAGGGTCTGATTTTTTTTGTTGTTGTAGATGTTTTGTTAATATTTGGTATTTTGAAATTGTTGCACTCTTTTTTATTTTAATAGTTTCAAATTGAGTTAGATAAAAATTTCAATTCTTAATCATTTTACATGAAAATTGGTTAGTACATTCAGTCACTTGGTGTTGGTTTATTTATGCCACTTTGAAATTTTTCTCTCTGATTATGTAGCAGTCTATGAGATGGGGGCGTTGACGTCGTCCAACCAATCCGCAATATTTCAGAGTTCTTAACAATAAGAGGACATGGGGGTAGATCCCTTGACTGTGGTACGGAATTGGTGCTCGAGTTGCATGGCGCGAGCATGTTTGTTGTCTTGAAACAGATCATGAATCATTTTCCAGAGAGCAGAGGCTGTAGAGACGGAGGAAAGAACCAGATCAGAGACTTCATCAGTGATGGTGGAGAGAATCCAACCCTGGAGAATGACGTCAAGTTGAAACCATTCATCATCGTCGTCGGAGATGGGAACGATGGAGCCGTCAAGATAACCATGGAGGTTGAACCGCCGTGCAAGGAGAAAGAACAAGCGGCTCCACTTTTTGTAGTTTGGTTGAGAAAAGCTGAGTTGTATAGGGACATGTAATTTGACGTTGGAGACAGAGAAAGCCAGATGTAGAGGTTAGGGGGTGGCCGGCCGAGAGAGGGAGGGCAGCGGCGCCGGTTATTCGGCGAAGGAGGATGGAGGCCGAAAGATGGGAAGAGAAATTATGGTTTTTGGTTAGGCTCTGATACCATGAAGAAGGATTTTTTTCATTAATTAAATTGTGAGGAGAGTAGATGTATATATACAAAAGTCTCAATCCTAGTTATGGTAGGAGAGACAATCTAAGAAAACTATACAAGTATGGTAACAATAATAATACAATAATATTAATATATTCTATACATTTAACAACACATGTGTTTTATTCTACAGTAGGAATAAGCATAGTATTAAACCTCTTTTTAGTCTTTTGAAAGTTGTATGGATAGTTTGATTTCTTTATCGGTATATCTTTTATGTCCCCAGATTAATATGCATTGGTTTGGTACCCTCAGATCAAATTAGCAGCTTGAGCAAGATGAGGGGCCTTTATTTATACCACTTTGAGTAAGATGATGGGCCTTTATTTAAGTGAATACAAAGTATATAATTTTCTTTACGGAACAAGAAACATTGGTTATGTTGTTTTTTATTCGAAAGATTTTACCATATGATTAAACCTAGCTTGCATTCTATTGTTAGTGAAAAAACCCCAAAACATTATCTAACCTTTAAAAGAATGCACAGAAAATATATTCTTTAGTTTCCTCTTATCCGTTGCTGACACATTGCAAGCACGGAAAACCAACATACAAACTTACCACCTTATTTTGTATGTTTAATCACAGTAACGTTGTACTATACTCATCTACACCTCTCAACTCTTAATAAATTGAAATTCACCTTTATTGAACTCAATACACAACTTCAAGTTCCTAAATCCACAAGTGGCTGAAGAACCCAATTAGTTTGTTTTTGTTAACTTATTGATTATAATTCATTTCCCAGGGTAGCAAAATTGGTGGGGAAAATCGATCCCTTTTATCTCAATCAATTTATCATTTTTAAAATTTATTACACGTAATCATTTTATCTTATTTTTTTAATAATGAGGTGTGCATTATATTGGTAAAATATACTAGCATGTCCAAACTAAAAACTTCCTTAAATAGTAGCTACAAGGTTTTGCTCTAATGCCCAAGGGTACAGAGTACACACCTAAACTGGATGCCTGCCATTACTGGAAAGAGATGGTGAGAGTCAAAAAGAATTTTAGGAGAATGCCCAAGGGTACAGAGTATACAGTGAGGGAAGGGTATGACTGGCTACAGGGGACAAGAATGATACCAAATTGGAAAGATACAGTCTGGAATGCCATAACCCCTCCCAAAATGCAGTTTGTGACATGGTTGTTGATGAAGGGGAGTTTACCAACAAAGGAGAGATTGACCAGATTTCTTACTATTGACCAGGATTGTGCTTTATGTGGCCAAGATAAGGAAACAGATAGACACCTGATGTGGGAGTGTGGAATAGCTCAAAGAATCTCGCAAACATGCTTCTCGAGGTTTTACCATCACCAGGTAGTATTGACCAGCTACCAAGACTTGGAGAACAAAATACAAGTAGCAGGTTCGAGGAGGAATAAGCAGCAAATTAAGGCAATCTGGGCTGGATGTGTATATGGAATATGGATGATGAGAAATAGAATTTGCCACCTGAAAAACTGCACGAAAGAAGAAACTGTTGAGTATATTAACTTTTATATTAGTAGCTATTTTAACTACAAGAGAGTGATGTAAATTCTGAATAGTTTGAAGTGAAATGAAAAGTTGTGATTTGTGCAAAAAAAAGGTTTTGCTCTAATGTGCTCATAATTTCTCTAAACATTCCAATCCCTTATTTTTCAGTCTACCATGATTCAAAAAAGAATAAAATATCAGAAGAAATTGAATCAACATAAGGGGTTTATAGCTCCGAGATTCAACCACCTAGCTATTACATTTGAATTCACCTCAATTACATTGTCAATACCAACTAGAGAAGATGTACTCATCAACTTGGGCACTCATCGCACACAGTGCGATCCTTGCTAGAATTACTCTACTACCATTTTCATATACTTCAAGTTCCTAAATAAGAGTCTCTACTACCATTTTCACATCAGAATTACTCTCTCCGTCCCCCTGTATTTGTTCACATTTGACTTTTGGAACTCTTCATCTAATCACTTTGACTCATCAAATTCTCTCAATGTGTAAGCCTAAATATAGTCATGTGTGATCTTGTTTGATTTGTCTTAACATATAGATTACTAATATATAATTTTTATAATTTTTTAATATACAAATTATAAGATAAAATGGATTAAAGAAGTGCATTGCATGATATGTAAAAATGAAAGTAGACAAATATAGGGGGACAGAGGAAGTAGCACATTTGCTTTTGTTTTAAATTCCGTTGAAAGTCTAAACTTGTGCATTTACTTGTCAAAACAATATGCAAAAACTTTTACCATATGCCATTCTGCAGCGAGCCAATTAAGAGCATATGCAATGGCAATGAAGAAGGATGTCTTGCACTACCACATCAGCTTCTTTCACTCATATCATGGCATGGCAAGGCCAAAATATCTTGCTTGGTGAGGCATGATTGTGGCACTTCATACTACTTTTTTTCTTTTTTTAAAATAATTTTTTAAAAAATTTTTTATGAAAAAAAATGTTCAAGAAAGTAGCTTAATTATTAAATAATGACTTGCCATTGTAGGACTTGTCACTCCATTTACTTGCCACACGCTGACTGGATTATTTTTGATTGGTTAAAATGTTCCATGTCACCGTGTGACATTCCATTTTCGCCTTGTCATTGTTGAGGCTCTAATACGCATACATGGTGATTGAGAGTAGACGTGAATTTACATGTCTGTCGTATTTACATGTCTATCGTTTTTAAGAGGGTGCATAATCTTATGATCGGATTTTATATTGTGTGAGTTCTCAAAATGATCTTCTAAGATAGGATTGTGCTACTCTCACCCACTTTGTATCCTATTTTGTACATCAAAGGTTTACCCTAACATAAAATGTAAGTGCAACACTGACATAATACAGTTTTGCATTTGCATTTAATGTCAAGACAACCCTTGGGGTACAAAATGAGGTACAAATAGAATTTTCCTTTAAGATACTGTAGTTTTCGAATTTTTAAAAAAAAGCAATGATTACATATGTGGTAATTTACAATTGAGACTTATCTCTTTGATAGTCTTCCATTAATGTCCATCAAATGACTATTAAGTGTAGTGTATTTTAGTATTTTCATAATTTAAATTACGAGAAGAAATTTCTCAAAATAGTTGTGTTTAGTTAAACGTTCTTCCAAATCACTCCTCTGTTGTTATATATATAATTCTATCACCCTAATTATTGAAAAACTATCATGGGAAAGATTAGTCATTGAGGATTATCAAAGAAAATATCTCAATTATGAAGTATGAAATAAGTAGTAATTTTGTTTTTTATATATAGACTAAGGTCCTGTTCCGTTCAACTTATTTTTTCTTATTCTTATTAAAATCAGATCAGATCAAATCAAATCAGATCACATCAGATCAAATCCAATCAGATCGGATCAGATTCAATCAGATCAGATCAGATCCAATCAGATCAGATCCCATGAAGAATCATCATCATCATCATTATTCTTCAAAATGAAAAAGAATAAAATTTAGAAGGATGAGATATTTTAATGTCAGTCTAATTCTACTTTTAAAATATATTTTTATTGCTACTTGTAATTTGAGTTTCTAAGTTTTGATCGTTTATAAGGATGAAATATTTTAATAAAAATACCATCTCTTCTATATATTGATTATCTAAATGTAATTATTTTTTGATGTATATATAAATTAAATATTTAATCTAATGTATATATGAAGTAATTATTAAAATATTAAATTAATATTCTAATTTCACAAAAAACTAATCATAATATAAAAAATATTATTACATTATAATATCAATGATTATTCTAATATATGAAATAACTAATTTTATTTTATTAAAAATAATCATAAAAACATTGATTATATTATAATATGAATTATTGATACAATTTTAAAACTTTTTATAAATTCAAATCAAATTATTGATTTGAATTTTAAATAAAATCATAAATAATCAGATCAGATCAGACCGGATCAGATAAGATCAAATCCAATCAGATCAGATCAAATCCAATCATATTATCTCAGATCTCATTAGGTCAGATCAGATCAAATCCAATCAAATCAGATCAGAAAAAATAAGTTGAACGGAATGGAGCCAAACTTTGGCAAATTCTTCCGGATCCCTTTTTCCTTCTTCTTCATCCTCCTGCTCCGATCCATATTCTTCTTCTTCCTCAGCTGTAACTCACCTTCTTCTTCTTCCATTTTTTAAACTTTAAACTCTTTTTTACGTTTTTAATTGTTGTTAATTTTGAACCTTTTATTTTTATTTTGTTTATTACTCCCTCCGTCCCATTTTATATTGCCGTTTTGACTTTGTGACATATTTAAGGAAGAGAAAAAATGGTGTTGATTTTTCAAAAATACCTTACTTTTTACGGGAGTGACGATGAATGAGAAGATAAGGTGGAGAGGAGCAATTTATTTTAGGGTAGTTTAGGTATTTAACTTTAAAAGTTTATTATTATAAGAAACAGACAACTTATTTTGGGATAGACAAAAATTGAAAACATGCAATTTAAAGAAAACCGGGTCGCTGCCCTACCCCTCCTCAGTCCCCTGCTCTTATCCGATTCGCATCCAAAGCCTCGCATGGGCTCGCCATCCATTGAGCTTTTCTCATATTCACTATCAACGATGATTATGCCCGGGTATGGGAGAGAATCAGAGTCAGATCCATCATCATCCGACTCACTCTCTCCGTCCTCAAACTCTGAAACCTCCATTTTTTTCCTTCTCGTCCTCATTATTCAGCCCTTGAAATTGAATCTTGCTCTCAGAGATTTGAGGGATCTGGGATTCAAAACTCAAATCTACAGAATCCATATGTAGGTGAGGCGATGAAGATTATATCAAGGCTTTTATGGAAAAGTAAAATTTTACAAAGACAGAAAGAGGGCGATGAAGTTACAGAGAGACAGAGAGAGACGGATAGACAGATCTAGGGTTTAGAGAGAGGAGACGAAGAGCGGAGAAGAAGAGACAAGGTTTGCGTAAATGAGAGGGGCGTAAGTGAGAGATAGGGTTGGTTGTTGTGTGGCGTAAATGAGACCGGAGGAGGGTAATTTTGTCATTTCATAGCCTCTTTTAAGTT